GCAGAAAAGCAGACACTTGAATTAGTCCTGGGAGGATAGTTTGCCTTGCTGGAGGAAACAGAAATGTGAGCTGTGAGACTAACAGGAGATAAATAGAAGAGAGGGAAGAGGGGAGATAGGCGGAGCTGGGCAGCAGATGAAGGGATCATGATCTTGAGGCAAATGGTTTATAAAAGAATTCAGCCTCAGGAACACAGTTGGTGAAAGCATACGCAGCCTACAGGGTAAACTGGAAATGTTAAATATTTCACCACTTTGACTTTTGGCTGGTTTTCTTTTTCTTCCTGCTTCATAATGAGTCACACTAAATGAAAGACAGGAGTGTGGTATGCCAAGGTTCTAGCCAGCGAGCGTCTCCATCTGCTCCTGCCTCCCCCCCAGCACCATCACTTGGCTCCTGCTCAGTTGAATGTCAGTTGTCCTGACAGCCTGACCTCCCAGAGGCTTGCGAGCCAAATGCCATGTCACATCAGGCCCGGCTTTGCCCAGATCTGGCCCTCAATCATTTTCACACCCTCCTTCCCTCCATTTGATACTACCTGAAAATGAGAACCATTTGTTTGTTTCTCTCTATTTATAGCTCTGCTCCAGCAGTATAGGTTTGGTGAAGGATGAATGTAAATGCTAATATTAAACGTGCAGACACTTTACACGCTGCCTCCACTGGGAGATCATCCATATTAGTCAACTGCCTTGAAACAAAAACGTCTATGGCTGAACATTCCTACCACACAGGCTAATTTTACTGATGTTTCTTCTTACCGTTTGATTGCACCAGGCAGTCCTGGGACCATTTGTTCAATCTAGCTCTCAAGAGAATGAAATTTGCTGAAAACTGAGACATACACAGCACAGAATGCTGTCTGTGGCTGGCACTCACTGTTTCTTTTAAATCTGGTTAGGTTATCTGAAGCTTAGCATGCACAGGATAACCTGACTACTGAATGACTGAAGCAAAACACAATGAAGATGCAAATGTTTAAAAACTGGTCACAAATCTGTAGGTTCATTTTTAAACATGGCATGTCTTAGAACAAACATGTCCATGGATCCAGCTGCTGAGCTGGTGTGGTCCTGTAACACTGAAGAGGTCCCAGGCCAGTTTCACAAACATATTTTAGGCTAGTCTACAATGCTGGGCCAGAGTTGGGAGGTTTTCCAGAAACACCATGTTGTATGTACCTATCCTTGTTTTTTTTAGTTCTTTTAAGTTCTAATACAAATCCAACTGTTTCTCTAAAATAATGACAGGCTTTTGTCAAGCCTGAAATGTTAGTCATCCTACAACCTCCAGACATCTGCTGGCCAGTGGTATCAAATGAGAACAAAGAGGAAAACATGTTCATAATTTGTGGTTTGTTAACAGTGCTGTGGAGTGTAATGAGAAGTGAGAGTTTTTAGAGCATGGATTAACCTATTTGCAACAACTGAGGACATTGTTAGTCATTTTTATTTGACTAGGAAAACTATCCCAAGCCTGAATGAGGAGGTAGCAGAGATATTGAGTCCTGCCTTTTTAGGAGGCCACAGCATCTCCGCTCTGCTACAGGGATGTGCTGTGATGACATGTTATGCTATTGGAGATTGTTTCAATATTGTTACACTCTTTGCTGAATTAAAATATCCTTATATTTATTCTCTTCTTCCAAATGACAGAAATTCTCTGCTGGAGCAGCTGGTTGATGCAGCGTCCCTGTCAGTCAAGTTTTTTATTTTATTTTAACTCTTTACCCAGAGTTTATAGCAAATTCATTTAAAATATTAAAGACCTAGACAGCTTTGTGCAACAGATAAATTATCATGTCAGTTTCGAAGCTGAACCTGAGCCATAACCACAGTCAGATCTATCAGCAGTAAAAGTGAATGTTAACTTATCTTTTATCCAACCAACGTGCCCAAAACTTGCAGAGTTTATAAATAGAGCATTTTGAAAACCACTGAGGTGACTCATGTGCTTTGCACAAAAATATCAAAACTGTACAAACACTGATGGTGAATGGAGGCGGTATCACAAAATATTCCTCAATATGTTTAGGCTTCAGCGTTGATTGAAGTTGGCTGTGGGATGAAGATGGCACACTGCAGCATTAGATAGTGCAAAGTAGTCACCTCCATTTAGCTGGAGTGAGTTGACTGTATAAAACCTTTCAAACAAAAAGAGATGAATAAATATTTTTATCAGATCTGTGCATGTAACTATAATTAACTATTGGATCACTCAAATTGAGATTTTCCACAAAAAAAAACTCCTTGATACGACCTCACCAGGGGTGACTTTGAAGGCAGACGCTCTCACTCAGCCCGCAGCCCAGCAAAGTGCTTATACAGCTCCCATGCTATGCTGCTAAATGTTCTCTAGCTGCTTGGCATGGTACAGTAAGTAGTGTTTGCCTAATATGTCGAGAAAGCAAGTAGAACAAAAATGAGTGCAAGTACACTGTTTTCTTTTAAGTTTATATTTTCAAATATCTCAAATCTACAATGTGTGAAACTAGTGCCTGAAAAAAAAAATCGTTTGCAGTTGCCTCCTGCAACCAAGTTTTAAGAGCAGGCAGCTCGCTCTCACATGAAGGAGTGCATTAAAAGATGTGATGCTTCAAAGTGAAGGACACTCATGGAGCAAACTGATTCTAGAGGACAGTGCACACAGCTCTGGGGCAAGGTTGTGCAGAGATAAAGCAGGCATTCACCAAAAAAGATGTGTTTTGACAAAATGTTTTAAGCATTTCACCGCAGTGAAGAAGATGTTGTATAACAGGAGGTTCAACAGAAGGATTTGAGGCTGTGCACTAAAGAGCAATTATTCATTCAGGGCCTCTACTTCAACCCCTTTGCAACTCATTTGTGCTGTGCTGCAGTTGCCATGCACTTGTGGACGTGGCAACGGTGAGCAGAAGCGTTCGCAGCACATTCAGCTGCTACACGTATGGAAACAGCAGGGTCATAGTCTCCTTGTCTCACTGGGATATGAGCTAATGGATTCTTCACATGGTGCTAATGCTTTAGCAATGTCATCATACATGACCACAGAAATGTTTATGCAGCCGAATGCTTCTCAGCCCGAGCGCTGGTTAATGTGATCCAGCTGAATTTACATTTAACGGCTGCCGCATGATACTGCTTAATCCGATGGCCGACATGCATATTTGTTTTGTGTGGGACTGTGCTGCTGTCTTGTTATCTCGTGTGTAAAATGAATGACTGCATTGAATATTGCATTGATTAGACATGCTTCCTGTAGCTTTTAACAAGGAAATAGTTGGAGTGAGTGAGTGTACAATGTAAAATGTATTATTGATTATACCTGTGAAATGTGTGCAGTTTAGGAGGTAAAACGATTACCTACTGCTACACCACATTACTTACCATAGAGCACAGTCACCTCTCCAGGGAGATGATAAAGGGCAAAAACATTTGTGAGGTAATGCATAACATACTGTACAAGTGCTAATTTTAAAAACAAATGTTGAATAAATGTGTCTTTTAATACTGGATTTTCAGAATATACAGTAAGCCACAAGACAAATTGTACTGATATTCACAAATACTTGATGTGGTATAATATATTGATATTCTTTATCACACTTTATAAACTTACACCCTTTTGCATGAATAAATATGATAATATATTGTCAATTAAAAGGAGACTGATTAAAACAAAATGAAAATCAGGGAAGAGAATAAGTCTGTGCTAAAGCCCCTTATACAGAGACTTTTTTCCTCCTTTAACTAAGCCCTGTTACGGCACCCTAAATATGCCTGTCAAAGGCTTAAAACCACTGACTGTGCCTCACACACCGAAGAAGATGCTAAATACTTGGGTGGCACTTTATAATGCAGTCCATGATTTACAGTGTAACTTTGTTATATAAGTCAGGTGCTAATAAAATATTCAGTGGTTCCTACTGCTACTTAGCAGCCAAAGAAACAATGGCAAGCGCCTACAGAGCACTGTCAACTGATGGATACTAAAACCTGAAAGGATGAATGAATGGTCTCGTAAGGCTCTGCACTTCATATCATACAATTTGATTGTAAGCCTGTTGCATTATTGTTTCTGTTCTTGCTGCCATCTCAAGTAAAGTGTAATCAATTACATAGATACATATAGCACCAGAGGAATCCTGTTATCTAATTATGTGTACTAAAGCAGCATGTGTCATAAGGCATGCAGGTTTCAAGCAATGGACAGAGAGAAACAAGAGTCAGGCAGGTCTCATTACAGCACAGTTACTGCTGGAGGCTGCACCCTGTGGTCACCTATAATGTGCTCTTGAGGGGTCCCTCCAGCAAATTTACACATGAAGTTCAGTTTACTTACCCAGTCTGTGAAAATGACCTTGACAATGTCATCAGGGGTTTTTGCCACATGCTATTAGTTTCACTGGGAAATATGGGATCTAGCGTTTTTAGACCCACACTACTGTACTACTAGGTCAGAATACCTTGGCCTCTGCTTTTTATTGTTATTAATTTTCAACACTCTTTTTAATCTATAACATATCAGTCTCTCAGCTTTATCGTAAAGCTGTACAGTATCAGCTGTTACACTTTTGATAATTGAGAAGCACAAAGAGAAAACTAATACACTTTCATGGTATAAATATGGGTTCATGATTGTCTGCTGAGAACTGGGAATGACAAATGAAGAGACTCGAGTGAGGGGAGGGATCTCTTGTAGCTCCCTGTATGTGTTTGGAAATGGAAAATGAATTGAAAGTTTAGTAAAACTTTGACAGAAAATTGATGGTTTGGAGATAACCTTAACATGGCACTGTGGTAACTTACCAGCCTACTATTGCCATAACTACTGATAAAAATAAAATAGTCAGAGGCTGGCGTTAAAGTTAGTCACCCAGTAATACACTGGTATATGTTATCCTCAGGCTGGATGTGGTTTCTTCCTGTGGTTTCTCCCTCCGCCGTACTGCGACGCCCACCCAGCCCCCCACCCCGTGCCCCGCCATCCCGCCGCCCTCTCCTGCCTTTGTTCTCATCACAACAAGCCCGGAGCAGATGGTGCTCTGCCTTCGCTTGGCCATCAGTGACAGACAGGCGCTCTCAGCCAATGACCTGCTGGGGAATCAGCTGACCGGTCCGGACAGCGCCAGGTGTTTTCATCATTTTTCTTCTCCAGCCATAGGAGGAGCGAGCGGCGGCGGCGCGGAGGGATATCGGGGCGACACACCGGTCGGTGGTGGCTTGCAGCAGGTTGGAGCTCTCACTGCAGACAGCAGCATGTCTCTCTCCGAGGCGCCCTGGGACTGAGCGGATACACAAGCGACGTATCGCTGTAAACAGCCGCCAGCTGAACCCACTAGGTTACAGGAATATGTGCTGTTAGATTCTTTGACGAGACCGTTCACTTGGCACAATAACATTTTCCTCACTTGCTGTTGTGTATTGACTCGTATATCTGGATAAAGGATCGTGCGCTTGGGAACATCGAAACAAGGTGAGAGCCCTCCGGAATGGAACCAGGGTTTCCACTCTTTCTTTTTGAGCTTCATTGTCGATGAGAAATTTTGTTTTAATGATCTGATTGCCTGCCAGTTTACCGTTATAGTAGTAGATTAGTGTCTCTGTGTGTCAAACATGCATACTTTGTGAATGTTTCCACACATATGTCCCTGCAAGGGCGATGCAATGAGTTGAGGATGCAGACACACTCAAGGGCATAATCTTTTTCCATGTATTTTTTTAATAAATGCAGTCTGGTCTGAGTCTGTCACTTTAGGTTTGGAGTCTGATTTGTATCGATATTAGAAGAGTTAATCCAACAGTAGGGCTATATTTGATCAGATCTATCAACCCAGTCCAATGCGTCAAATGATATTCCACTGAAAACAAACTTTGATCTCGTTGCGGTACTTGCCGTGCCAGCAGGAGCAGCGTGCGCTGTGCGCAGCCTTGTGGAAATGTGATTTGCATATTAATGTTAAAGTGTGTCGGTTCCTCCGTTCTGCGCGAAAAAAAAGTGGTGGGTTCTTCTTCAGGGATAAAGACGAGGCCCTGTGTAAGAGATGTTGTGGTGAGAATGGGGGTGCATTGGCAGGGGGTCTATTGTGGTCACAAACGCAGCTTCTGTCGCTGCAGCTGTTGCGCTTTTGTGGTGGAGACTGTTGACGTGCATCGCTCAAGTTTAGGCAGAGGGACACGCTGTAGAAGGGTTCAGAGGACAAAGAAATGTATTTTAATGTGAGGTCTTGGCAAATCTCTTTCTGCCCACTGGACTTTATTTATGGACTCTGTGAAAAGCAGAGTCACCTTTTCACTTGTGGAGCTTTGGGTCAAATAAAAATGAATGTTGGTGTTATAATAACACAAAGTCAAACATAGTCAGTTAAAAGGAGAACAACTTGATGATAACTAATATGCTGTATGTTACATAATGAGTACGAGAACTTTCCTGTGGCAGAGCTGCTGCTGTTTGTCCTACAGATATCTCAAATTTGGACAAAAGCAAAAGCTCAGTTCAGGTTTGTCTTAACTGATGCGTCGCTGATGTTTTCTCAAATGGAATTTTAAGTAATCAGAAGACAAATCACTGGGCGAGATGGCCTGATAGATTATTTAGTTTTTTTTCCCCACCCCTAACTGGACATCCTGCCACATACAGACAGTGCACATAGAGTGAACACACACACTCACACCATACTTCATACAAGCAGTGAGAATGGGATGCATGGGACCAAAGGGAGTGTGTGCAGCTGATTGAGCTCAAGCCCTTGTTAGATTAAAGCATCATTAACCCTTTGTCCTCTGTGGGCTACAGGTCACAAAGACGACAGACACAGTAACAGTTCAGCTCAGCCTGCCCTGTGTGATCTGCTGAGACAGGACAGTATCTATACTGCAGCCAGTACAGCAGTGCAAGGTGACAGTCTGTAAGAGTTGGGAGGTTTTCCAGAAACAACATGTTGTATGCACCTACCCGTTATTTGTTTTGATTGAATGTTTCTTCCAAATGAATGTAATGTACTGTAAGCACGCGGAGTTTTATTCAGATATTATTTTAACCTGTGTTTATTCCTGTCGTCTCTGTGATTTCAAAATTCCTTTTGGAAGAGAGACCCGAGTAGAGCAGGAGAAATAAATATAGACAGTCACACACAAAAGCATACGGCGTCAGAGACGATCACAGATGCTGGAAAAACACAATCAGCTGAAAAATGTGGCCCGGTCATAATATAAGAAAATGACATGTATGAGAGTTTGATGAAAAATAGAGTTTTTTTTGTGTTTCCCAGCTTATTATGGTGAAGATGTAGGCTTGTTTTACTCATGTTTACAAATGTAGAAAAACATTCAACCACATGGCTAAATGTGAATGAATTGTACAGTTAATGATTAGTTCTTAGTCTAATAATGTGCTAATTATCTTCTCAATTGATCATAGTAATAGATAGATAATAATAAAAATAAAAAAATGCACATTGCAGTTTCTTACAACCCAAGGTGATTTCATCAAGTGCCTTGTTTTGTTCAGTCAACAGCCAAAGATGCTCAGACACAATGATATAAAACAAAGCAACACATCCTCATTTTAAAAGGCCTGCCAATCTTTTTTTGTTGTTTTTTGATGGTGGAACAACCTTTTTGTTTATATCTAGATTACAGTTTGATCTTTTAACCATATTGCCTTTCAGCGGTTGTTCCACATAACATTCGTTGTATGATTCGCCCCCTCAGTCGACCACAAATCAAATCAGTCAGCTTGTAAAGCACCTGAGGATTTCCACCCATGAGTGTACAATGAGATTTTGCCCATCTTGGTTGAAGGTGAACCAGCTGGAGAGCGATAAAGCTGCTGTAAAATCCAAAGCATGAGCATTGTTGATGACAAAGTGGCCCAGTCACCTATTCTGTATCATCCAGTGTGAAACACCAAGCACATATGTCTGTGAATATACACTGCTATGCTCACACTTGCTCATATGAAGCGTGCCAGGAGAAATTCAGCACAATGTGTGCATGTGCAAATTCACTTCTTCAGATGTGTCATTTGCGCTATCTACTGTAGCATAACTGCCAAATTATCCACATCCTTATATTACACAAACAGGGTATTGTTTCCTCTCTGTTGTGCTCAGGATGAGGCACCGCAGTTCTACAGGAACAATTAGACCTGCTACATGCACTGTTTAAAAAGTATGGGCTCATTTTTCAACTTCAAATTTAGAGCTGCTGGGTTTTCAGTTCATGTGGAAGATGTATTTATCTCTTCATTTTGCCTTCTTGTCTTGTCTGTTCATGACACATTCCTCATTGTCACTCAGGCTCTGTCATCTATAAGACACAGCCATCTTAAATTGCTGGATGGACCGCAGTGGAACCATGCCGGATCTATAACAGGTCCGTGCACAAGCCCTGCTCTTACCGTGCATCCCCCACGATGACGCAGTGATCACAGCACCACCTTCTTGATGGCCTTAAGCACCGTTTGTGCAAGCTGCCCACAGTGTTATATGTATCCACCAGGTGGAGCAGTGTTAGTTGTAGTTGACTGCAGAGCCCGACTGATAATTTGATCCTTCTGTTAATGTCCAGAACTGCTGGTGGATGAATCCACGAGAGCTCCCATGCACCAGTCCCAGTACAAGCACAACTCCCGGCCAACTGCAGGCTACAAGGAAGCATTCCAGGGGCTCATGAGAAGGCAGTAGTCAGTAATAGACATGGATGAGTTTGTCAGAGTTTTTGCAAGCACTTCAAGTTAATTATTATTCAACTTAGGTAAATCTACACATCTGTACTAAAACATACAGTGAAGATCCAGCACACAATTTAGCATTTCTCCAAGGCTGTGGAGAGAATTTGACAGCTTTAAGTAACAAATTTGTTTGGTTTTGTTTCCTTTTGTTTAATGGGTTGGAGACGTTGATCATTGTGTGGAAAGTTGGTATGGGAGAGTGTTGATGAGAGAGAGCCGTCTGAGCTGAAGGAGCTACGGAGATGCTGTGCTGAGGAGGCAGCATGCGCAGTGCACTCACTCCAAGCTGTGCAGGGCTCACGTTATGAGAAAATACATTATGTTGTTATAATGACAAAATACCTACTGTATATCGCAATAATCTGCAAAATGTTTTAATATGAAACTATCTCGTAAAAATGAGCAAAGTATTTTGTTATAATGAGAAATATTTTTCATTAAAACAAGATTTAAGTTGCCATAGGCAGTTCTTATGTATACTATGAAATATAATCCTGCGGGCGCCACTGATATTGATACAGTGAACACATCAGCTGTGTGGGGGACTCATTCCAGAGTTTGGCCATCCTGTGTCCTGCTTGTGTCATACAGACCTACAACTGATCACTCACAGGTAAACGGGTAAAACAGTCCTGTTTAAATCCCAAGTGTGTTTCTGCTGCTGATTGCCGCATCTGATGTTCGTCTCCATGGCCACTCCTGGAGATTACACTCTAGTTTGTCAGTCTGGATGATCTGAGTTTCATTCTTTCACTTGTTTTTTGTAAACAGAGTCTGTAGTCGACACTAAACTGTGTCAGTGTTAACCATCCACACCATCATATACTGTATGTGGTTGAACAAAACACAAACACTCGCAGGTGCCAGTTGTACACTGGAGTGCACATTGTTTGCATTGACGTTGTGAATCACTAACCAGACTTTAAAATTTATTATCACAACTTAGAGCATTCTATTATGCAGGACATACACTTTACTGATGACTGGATCTTTTAAGTACTCGCAATAATGCAACCTTATGAATTTCAGCCAGATTATTCCAGTAGGCCTCTTCTTTTTCCTCTCTTGGAGAAAAAAAGTGGTGGAGCGTTGTTTCGATGCGTTTCAGCAGCACTACACCTATGGTTAAAATGTCTCTTTTGCTTTGTTGGTATTACATTATTGGTAAAATGTTCACAGCATTTCTTCTACTAAAATATCAGATCTTCTGGCACATGACTCTCACAGGTCTTGGTTAAGAGAGAGCAAAAATGAAAAATGGCACCAGAGTAAAACTGAAGATGGAATCGAACTCAAGCCACTAGAGAGACAAATCTGCACTTTATGCCTTCGTCAGTCTCCCCACTTGCCTCTCTGACTTACCAAGTAGACCATAAGCTAGCAGTCTGTACATTAAGACAATGCAGTGATACCTGGCCCTGAAACCCTTGTGTTTTAATGAAGCTGTATTCTCAACTCAACTCAACTTTATTTATAGAGAACTTGAACACAGCCAAAGCCAAACAAAGTGCTTAACATAAGATTTGATTTAAAACATATAAACACGTGAACAACTACATTAATAGGAATAAAACAACAATAAAATAAATAAATGAACCAAGATAGCAAAATAACAAAAATACTATCCAAAACCAAAACTCAGCCCAAACAGAGTCTCATGCCGTATCAAACGCCAAGGCATACAAATGGGTCTTCAAGGAAGTTTTAAAAATGGCCAACGAGGCGGCCTGCGTAATATAAAG